AAAAAAAGCTAATCAAACAGGTGTTTTGGTGGCCCTAACTAGGTTTTCTTTTTTTTCCTAAATATTTTTTTATTTTTATTTTATGTGTGTGAGTGTGTTGTCTGCATGTATGTGAGTGTGTCTGTGTCATGCAGTGCCGCTGAGGTCAGAAGAGGGCTTCAGATTCCCCTGGAACTGGAGTTAAGGACAGTTTGTAGCCGCCATGTGGGTGCTGAGAATTGAGCCCGGGTCCTCTGCAAGAGCAGTCAGTGCTCTTAACTGCTGAGCCATCTCTCCAGCCCCTAGGTTTTCTTCTTTAGGGAGAGGCTAGCTTTTAATTTTCTTCCTGATAAAGAATCTACCTGGGAGTAGAAATGATGGAAGCAGAGTGTGAGCTTGCTTATGTGTATTCTGGGGGTTCATTCAGGGACAGGCACTAGAGAGACTCGGGCTTTAATGGGTACCATTTTGCTTTACTGTTTTCACTTAGGAACCTCATCTTATTCGAGTTTTGTTCCAAATATGCCTGAGGTTAAATTTTTCTAGTTTAAATTTCAGAGAAAACAAACTTTGCACAGTTTGCACAGGAGGAAAGCTCATCCATCTGCACAGGACATAGATGTGGGGACATGCTTGAATCACTGCTTCAGTGAGTCTCAGCAGCTCCTTCAGCATAGAAGAACTGTACCTTACCCACCTCCCGTAGTACTATAGCTTGCTGCTTCTTGGTGTTGAAACTGCTGCCTTCCTTGACAAGGACTAACACTTCAACTTCTTTTGACCCCTACTGAGTGGGGTAAAAAGACTTCCATAAATGTGTTTCTTAGTCTTTTAAAAAATTGTCTCTCAGCTCTCAGGAGCCTAAGTCAGGGGATCACAACTTTAAGGCCAGCCTTTACTACATAGCAAGGTACAGGCTAGCCTGAACTACATTGTGGGACTTTTCAAACAACAATAATAGCCAGGCATGATCCCAGCACTCGGGAGGCAGAGGCAGGCAGATCTCTATGAGTTTGAGGCTAGTCTGGTCTACATAGCAAGTTCCAGGCCAGTCAGGGCTAACATATTGAGACCCTGTCTCCAAACAATGACAACAACAACAAAAAAATCGTAGTAACAGAAAAAGGAAAACAAAAGTAAAAGGTCTGTTTTCTGTGGCAAACTATTCTGCTTTGCTTTTCTCTTTCTGCATCTTTTACAAAGATTTTATTTATTATTTTTATTTTATGCGCATGAGTGTATTGTTTGCATGTAAGTAGGTGCACCTGTAATCGTGCACTGCCTGCGGAGGTCAGAAGAGGGAGTTGGATTCCCTGGAACTGAAGTTACAGACAGTTGTTAGCTGCCATGTGGGTGCTGGGAATTGAACCCAGGTCCTCTGCAAGAGCAGCCAGTGCTCTTAACCACTGAACTATCTCTCCAGTCCCCCTTTTTTCTGCAGCTTGATGTACAGGAACTGCTCAGTAAACATTGGAAGTTGCCCAGTAAAATTTTTATTTTACTAGTTTTTATTGTCATTCTTCTAAGTTCTCTGAAGAAAGGAAACCTTAACCATTTCACTTTCTTAGTGTCCTAGAATGTGCAAAAGAGTGGCATCTGGCTCCCAGAAGCAGAGCACTTTAAAGTCTGTCTTCAGTCTTGCTTCAGGCGCTGCCTGCTATCTGAGTAGAGGTGGCTGAGCCCTTTCAGGCTCTACTTTGGTTGATTCTCGTTTTAAGAAAGAACAGTATTAGTTTTCTCCTTCTGTTTGTTTTTACAGCACTGCGAAATGATGCCAGGGCCTTACAAGCGAGCACTCTGCCACTCAGCTTCATCTCCAGCCCCTGCCTTTCCCTTTTTTTTTTTTTTTTTTTTTTTCGGTCTTTTTTTTTTCCCAAGTTTATTATTTATTTAATAGCCACATACTTAGAAGAAGCATTTCATTACAACGGCATTGACGTATTCAATAACAATTTTCTGAGCTAAGATGTATCTTGTTCAAAATTGAGACAGGGCCTCCCTGCAGCCCAGCTCTCCTGGGACTCACTATGTAGATCAGGCTGGCCTTGAACTCACAGAGATCTGCCTGCCTCTGCCTCCCAAGTCCTGGAATTAAAGGCGTGTGCCACCATGCCTGGCATGCCTTTCCCTTTTTAAGTCAGGAGTTTCCTAGATTTTCATATTTGGTCTCTGTTGTGACTCAACTGAAGGAACCCAGAAGTGAAGCTTATTAAATTAAAGCACTGTTACAGTGGTTCATACATGAATTATCAGTAAAAGATGGCGGCTAGGGGATGTTCTTGGATGTTCTCTGTTGCTCTCCACCTTATTCCTTTGAGACGGGGTCACTCAGAGAACCTGAAACCTGGAGTTCATGCTTTTATTTTTGGTGATTTTTAAATTTTTTTTATTACTTTTATTTTCATGTTATATGTATGGATGTATTGCCTGCATGTATATAAGTGCATCCATGTCATGCATTGCCCATGGAGGTCAGAGAGAGTTTCAGATCCTTGGAACTGGACTTAACAGATGTTTGTTATCCACCATGTGGGTACCTGGACTCAAACCTGGATTTTCTTCCTCAGGATATACCTTTACCTCCTTCAGCACCTGCTTTTCCCTTTTTAAGTCAAGAGTTTCCTAGATTTGCATATTTACTCAGGTATCACCTCACAGAGAGACCTTCCCAGAGGTCCCTATACCAAACACTTTAGCAGAGTGTTTTAGCACAGGCTGCTGTAACAAAAGCACCATGGATTGAGGGATTTGCATAATGAAAACTTACCCTGAGAAGTCCAGGACCAAGAGCCCATTCCTGGTTATGGACCCCCATGGTAGAGAGATTGCCACTCTCCATCTCTTCTTATAAGGGTCCTAATCCTATTTATGAGTGTGGGACCTGCTTGGACTCCAGCTGCAAATACCTTCACACTGGGGATTATAAATTATGTATACGAATTTGGTAGAGGCACACAACCCTTCAGCCACAGCATTAAATAACCTCCAACCATAAGTGCAGTTCCTTCCTTGACCTCCTTTATTTTCCTTTGTACTGCTTTTTTTTTTTTGTATTTTGTGCAGTCTTATCATCCACCTAATTGTGTGTGTGTGCATGCATATGAATGTAGAGGACAGAGAAAAACTTTAGATTTTGTTCTTCAGAAGCTGACCACCTGGATTTTATTTCTATTGTGTGTGTGTGTGTGTGTGTGTGTGTGTGTGTGTGTGTGTGTGTGTTTGTGTGTGTGTGTGTATTTTTTCTATTGCATATTTGTGTGTGTGTACAGGTACACATGTGTGTATGGGCACACTTGCACTTGAGTGCACATCTGTCTATGGAAGCCAGAGGACAGCCTCAGGTGTTGTTCCTCCTCAGGTGCCTGCCTTCCACCTTACTTCTTGAGACAGGGTCTCTCATTTGGGCTCATCAATTAGGCTGGGCTGGGTGTATCTACCTCCCCAGAGCTGAAATTACAAGTGCATGCCACAATGCCTGGCTTTTTTGTGTGAGTTCTGGGAATTGAACCTCAGGTCTTCATGCTGCACAGCAAGCATTTTGCCAACTGAGCTGCCTTCCTAGATTATTACCTAATTTTTATGTATGTATGTATGTATATCTGTATATATGTATTTATATGTGTGTGTAGGTAAGTACGTAGAAAGAAAGAAAAAGAAAGAATGAAAGAAAGAAAGAAAGAAAGAGAAAGAAAGAAAGAGAAAGAAAGAAAGCTGGGCATAGTGGAGCATGCCTTTAATCCCAGCACTTGGAAGGCAGAAGCAAGCGGATCTCTGTGAGCTGGAGGCCAGCCTGGTCTCCATAGTGAGTTCCAGGCCAGCCATGGCTTCAGGGAGACCTATCTCAAAAAGACCAAAAAAGAAAGAGAGATTGAGGGTTGGTTGTGCATTTTATTATATCCTAAAACAGAACCTGAAACATAGTAACTGGTCAGTAGATGTTTGGTAAATATAGAATGAGTAGCAGAAGCCTTTGAACATTGTACCTGTTTTGAATTTTGAAAGGTTATGTACTGCATGAATATGATAAATCCAAAGTTTTGAGCTTTTCCTAACAAATCCTTGCCCTTCAATGAAACTCTTAAATGTTTTTTCTTTGGCAGAGCAAGAATATGATCTTGGACCAAGCCTTTAAATATATAACAGAATTGAAACGGCAAAATGATGAGCTCTTACTTAATGGAGGAAACAATGAACAAGGTGAAGACTTGGACATTTCTACATCTTGTTGTTTGTTAGATATCTGGTTGTTTGTGTTACAGTGAAATTTATTTTAGGACATAGAAAACTCCCATATTGTCATTAGGAAGACCCTGCCTTCAAGATACCTGGGAGAATAGTACCACAAATGAACTTATTTAGTTTAATGCTTCTTCTTCTGTGACTAGTCCCCCTACCCCTCTTTCTTTTTTTTTTTTTAAGGCAAGTTCTTACTATGTAGCTCTGGCTGGCAAGAACTTGATGTATAGATTAGGCCTTAAACTCACAGAGATTGGCCCATCTCTGTCTCCCAGTGTTGGGATTAAAGGTGTGCAACATTATGCACATCAAAGTTATGGCAGGTAGTTATATGTAATAGTGTAATAGTGTTTGGGAACTATTGTGAGGCACTCCACAAGAGGCCATGAAAGCTAGGATGATCATAGATTTTCCAGTGAAAGTTCCTTTGGTTCAAAGCACAGAAGCTAAACCAAGGCAGCCATGTTACCTTAGGAAAAAGGGAAGCTACTAAAATCATACCAAATGCATGGGGCTTAGAAAGGCCAAGCAACCAGTCCAGGGGTTGGGGCAGAACCCAAAGCAGCTTAAGTTGGCAGTTTTATCATCTCTGTTGTGACTGTTGTTTCTCTGGTTCTTTTTGTAAATGTGTTCTAGTCCCCTCCCCTGATCCTCACCTTTTTTGTTGTTATTCTTTTGATAGAAGATAATTTATTTAGTTTATTGCAGAGGAGAGGAGAGGACACTCTTACAGAGTGAGAGTGGACAGTGGCCAAGGGACCATTCTCATAGAGTACACTCTCAAGGGTTGAGGGCCAATAATGGCCAAATCATCATGCTAATCTGTATTTGAGGCAGGATTTTACTGAAGTCTGTAGAAGAGACAGCTTTTCCTACAAAGCATACTCAGTCCAGGGAATTGACAAATCCATTTCAATTACTCTTATTGGAGGGGGCAATGGTATGCCCTTGTTCTTTATTAGAAAACTCCCAGCTAGATAGTATGAGGTTTACAGTTATCTATTAGTGACCTTCTAGTTAGTTCAGAAGGTCATGGTTCCACCCAGAGCCAGAGATATGCCTCACATTCCATTCTTTTGACCAGTAATCAGAGCCCTTCTAGCTCTTTGATTTTAAAGCTTCTTATTATTGGGGGGAGGGGGTCCATCCCTAGTGACCTCCAAGCCTTCTCATTTCTAACTATGTATTTAATATTACCTCCTCAAGGGATGAAACCTTGAAGTCATTTGGGAGATAGGTTAGACGTTTAGGCAATCTGGGTCTTTGACTGCAGTGGGGCATAGAAGGACTTAGGGTTTCTACTCTTGCTCACTTTGAGGCTTAGGAAGATGATCAAGGGGACCCAAATATGGAGTCAGACTGCTGTAGGACCATCTGAGGATGAATCAACTGTGGACAAGAGAAGATAAAATTAAGACAGTTAAACACACAAGACCCAAAGACTAATGCAAGCACTACTAAGATTATAATAGGTATAACCCATTTCAGTATGGAAATTCAGAAATCCAGTTCAAAGCTATTTGCCAAAAGGGATGGTGATCTGACATGGTTTGAATTTGATTTTGTAGATCTTGTCAATCAGATGAGACATTAGCAGAAACACTAGGAATATACGGATAGCAGTCAACCTTGATAAAAGCACAAATGTTGCTGTGGGTAGCCGTGCGGATATCTACCTAATACATCCTGGCCATCCTTGGGCGACTAAGTCAGGCTGCTTTGAAAAATATCCTGAGTTAATGGATTTGACACAAAATCTAGTTGAGAACTCTCAGGATTATACCCTGGTGATCAGTAATTTTAGAGGCCTGTTAGGTTGGGTAACCCTAAACTTGGAGCCTTGAGCAAAGAGGCTTTTAATTTATCAAAAATGTGTTGTCAGGACTTAGGCTGTCTTCCCAATGTACTGATATTATTGTAAAATTTTGAATTGGAAATGTTGAGATTTCTACATCATGAGAGATTTTTTGTGGTTGGCCTTTAAAGGTATATACTTTAAAAAGGACAGGAAAGGGACTTGAAGCACCATTCTAAAAAGAAGAAAAAAACACAGTAGCAAAGAGCTAGTGATTCTGAGTTAAGGTGTTTAGAATGCTGCAGTTAGAATTCAGTAGCTTCTGAATCCAGTATTTTCAAAAGTTATTGTAAATTCTGGCACTCACCAGTATTTTTATATCTAATATTACAGCTGAAGAAATTAAAAAGCTACGGAAACAACTGGAAGAAATCCAAAAAGAAAATGGCCGCTATATTGAATTACTGAAAGCAAACGACATATGCTTATATGATGACCCCACAATCCACTGGAAAGGAAATCTTAAAAACTCAAAGGTGTCTCTTGTTATTCCAAGTGACCAGGTCCAAAAAAACATCATTGTTTATTCTAGTGGGAGTCAGCCCAGTGGAAACAGCCAGGGAACACCTGTTCAAGGGATAACCTTTAACGTTGGTCACAATTTGCAAAAGCAAACTGCCAATGTGGTGCCAGTACAGAGGACTTGCAATCTTGTGACTCCTGTGTCTATTTCTGGAGTTTACCCTTCTGAAAACAAGCCATGGCATCAGACTGCAGTTCCTGCATTGGCTGCCAGCCAGCCTGTTCCCCTTTGTCTTCCTGCTGCCATTTCTGCTCAAAATATTCTCGAACTTTCCACCTCTGAAAGTGAATCAAGTGTGCTTGGTGCCACTGCTGGCTCACTGATCACTGTTTCAGTTGGGCCTGATCCTCACCAACATCGTTCCTTGCACACAGGCCTAAATGATCAAAATGCTTCAGAAAGTAACAGTGCGCAAGAGAACCCACAATCATTAAAGAAAGCAGTCCCTTGTATTACAAGCATCTCCTCCAGCTCCTCAGCAACTGACACTAAAGTACACCATGGAACCAAGTCCTGCCTGAGTGTGCAGGACTTCAGAGGTGATTTTCAAAACACCCTTGTGTCAGTTACCACCACAGTCTGCACCCAGCCTCCCAGGGGTACTGGTGATTCTCCTCCAGTGAGTGTTAGCAAGACCACAGACTCAACAAATACAACCGCAGTGTTGGCATCAGCTCCCACTGGAGTAGGCAAGGCCACCCTTGCAGTAAGCACTCTTTCTGCAAATCTTTTGGATAATGATTGGACTCTTTCTTGTTCTTTACCTTCTTCAAGTGTTAGTGCTTCAGATTTGAAAAACATTAATAGCCTTACCCGAATTTCATCAGCTGGAAACACACAGACAACGTGGACTACTTTGCAATTGGCTGGAAACACTATTCAGCCTTTAAGCCAGACACCATCTTCTGCAGTGACTTCAGTATTAAATGAGTCTGGTACCAGCCCCATACCAAGCAGCCACAGGTATGTGGCTACAGGCATCAACTTAAGTAATTCCCTTCCAACAGATGGGCAGCCAGTTGAGCAAGTAGTAGTAACTCTGCCTTCTTGTCCATCATTCCCTATGCAGCCACTAATTGCCCAGCCACAAGTTAAATCTCAGCCACCAAAAAATATCCTTCCCCTGAATTCAGCAATGCAGGTAATTCAGATGGCTCAGCCAGTTGGGTCAGCTGTTAGTGCACCTCCAATTAACCAAAATGTCATCATTCTTCAGCCATCCTCCACGGCCCCATGCCCAGCCATGATGAGGGCAGAGGTTCCTAACCAAACAGTAGGCCAGCAGATTGTCATCATACAGGCAGCTAATCAAAACCCATTGCCATTCCTCTCTGCTCCCCCTCCTGGTTCTGTTCGACTCCCTGTCAATGGAGCCAGTGCTATAATAGGGTCTCATAATTCAGTGCAAAATGTGCCGGCCCCACAGACTTTTGGAGGAAAGCATCTTGTCCACATATTACCAAGACCTTCATCTTTATCCACACCTAATTCAACACAAACTTTTTCTGTTAACATGTCAAATCAACAACAGCCTCAAACCATTTCTTTAAATGGACAGCTCTTTGCTTTGCAGCCTGTGATGTCTTCATCAGGAACTACAAATCAAACCCCTATGCAAATTATTCAGCCCACTACTAGCGAAGATCCAAATACCAATGTTGCCCTGAATACATTTGGGGCTTTGGCCAGCCTCAATCAAAGCATATCACAGATGGCTGGGCAAAGCTGTGTACAACTGTCTATTAACCAGTCTGCCAATCCTCAAGCTGCTACAAACAGTCAAACTGGCTCAGCTAACTCTGTCTCACTAACAACAGCTGTAACACCACCTGTGACAGCAGATAATTCAGCCACACTCTCCAGTGCTCTTAGTCTTGTGACTACTTCCTCAGTGAATACTGTCACTTGTTTGCCCCCTACCACAAAATCAAAAAGATTGAACAAGAAGGCAGGTACTAAGAAATACTTAGCAGCTAATAAGTCAGCATGTCCCCTGAATCCGGTCAGAGACATGGGCAAGTTAGACTGCCCCAACACAAACTGCTCAGCAGAGCCATCATGTAGTGATAGCCTGCTGGAAAACCTCCCTGTTGGCCCACCATCTGTGTCTCAGGAAAATAGTGTTAGTGTCTCTGTTTCACATTCTCTGGATGTTCTAAATTCTGAGTCTGTATCCAAATCTAAATCAGCAGAAGACTCGAGCCCACCCTCCCAAGAATCTGAAACAAATGAGCATTTTATAGTATCCCCAGCAGAAGAATCCAAAGAGTCTACTCCCATTTTGCAACAAGAGACCTCTCAGGATAAACCGCTAACTACTGTCGCATTGTCTGATGCTACCAAATCCTGCACTTCAGCCAATGTGTTGAGTCCATCTCCTAATGATGCCCAGATTTTGGTTACTCAGGTTTCTGGTTTGTCATCCACTCCAAGCACTTTGAGCAGTGACTGTGTTTCTGAGGTAGAAATCATGGCAGAACCTTGCAGGGTCCAGCAGGATTCACCAGACACAATGCAAACGGCAGGTCTCTTAAAGGGGCAAGGACTAACCACATTGCTGTCTGATCTCGCTAAAGAAAAAGACCCTCAGAAATCATGTCTTTCAGTCCAGATGGGTCATCCTGACTTTTCTCCAGAAAATTCTAAGATAGGTGATTCTAATGTCGATTTACACCCCAAGCAGGAACTCTTACTAATGAACAGTGATGACAGAGATCCACCACAGCATCATTCCTGCCTCCCTGACCAAGAGGCTCTCAGTGGTTCTTTGCTCACCAGTAGACAGGCTGACTCTCCTATGTCAACCAGCTCTGGCAGCAGTCGGAGCTTCTCAGTTGCATCCATGCTTCCTGAAACAACTCGAGAAGATGTGACCAGCAGTGTAGCAAATAACACATGTGACAGCTGCACCTTTGCAGAGCAAGCTGATATAGTAGCTCTTGCAGCAAGAGCTATTTTTGAGCAGGAGAACATTGAGAAGGGAAGGGTTGGTATCCAGGGTGATGTAAAGGAAGTTACTTCAAAGCCTTCTGAAACATCTTTAGAAGGAGACCAACGTTTTAAACCACGGATCCATAAGGAGAATGGCACAGGACAGGCGGAAGCAGCACCAAATGAATTTAACTCTCGGGATTCAATTGAAGTGACTGTGGATAGGCCTGTTGAAAAACCAAGCTGTTCTCTAGGAATGAAAACATCAAATACCTCCTTACAGGTTTCAGCTTCTCAGCCGCCGAGCCTCACTAGTTTAAGTGTGAATAATCTTATCCACCAGAGCAGCATCAGCCATCCTCTGGACAGCTGTGCAGGTTTATCTCAAACTTCAGAGCAAAGAACTATTCCTGTGAGTGTTAATCTGACAGTTTCATCCAGCTCCTATGGCAGCCAGCCTCCTGTACCACCACTGATGACAGAATATTCCCAGGAACAGCTGAACACCTTGACTAGTGCCATACCAAATCCACAGATACAAGAACCCCTCTTAAAGCCTAGCCACGAAAGCCGTAAAGATTCTACTAAGCGCACCATCCCAGATGATCTTCTGCTGTCTTCAGCCAAACGCCACAAGCATTGCCAGCCAGCCTCCCTCAGGCTTGAAAGTATGTCCTTGATGAACAGAACTCCAGACAGCATTTCTGACCAAACTCAAATGATGGTTAGTCAGATTCCTCCCAATTCTTCAAACTCAGTTGTACCTGTTAGCAACCCAGCACATGGAGATGGCCTTACACGGTTATTCCCACCTGGTAACAACTTTGTGGCTCCTGCGTTGAGGCAAACTGAAGTTCAGTGTAATTCTCAGCCTTCGGTTGCTGAGCAGCAGCAGCAGCAGCAGCAGCAACAAACCCAGGCAGGTCAACATCTGCAGGCCTTGCAGCAGCATGTTCCAGCTCAAGGGGTGTCTCACCTTCACAGTAACCATCTCTATATCAAGCAGCAGCAGCAACAGCAAGCAGGACAATTAAGAGAGAGGCATCACTTGTATCAGCTGCAGCATCATGTACCTCATACAGAAAATGCTGTCCACTCTCAGCCCCATAATGTGCACCAACAGAGAACTCTACAGCAGGAAGTTCAGATGCAGAAAAAGAGGAATCTCGTACAGGGCACTCCTGCCTCTCAGCTTTCTTTACAGCCAAAGCACCATGGAACTGACCAGGCTCGACCCAAGAGTAGTCAGCCACATCCCCACCATCAACAGATACAGCAGCAGATGCAGCAACATTTTGGAAGTTCCCAGCCAGAGAAGAGCTGTGAAAACCCTTCAACTAGCCGGAGCCACCATAGCCATCCCCAGAACCATCTCAGTCAAGATATTATGCACCAGCAGCAGGATGTTGGAAGTAGACAGCAAGGTTCGGGGGTTTCTTCTGACCATGTATCTGGGCATAATCCAATGCAGAGGCTTTTGCCATCAAGAGGCTTAGAGCAGCAAATGGTGTCCCAACCAAGTATTGTGACTAGGTCTTCAGACATGACCTGTACTCCACACAGGCCAGAGAGAAATCGAGTGTCAAGTTACTCTGCTGAGGCACTCATTGGAAAGACATCTTCTAATTCAGAGCAGAGAATGGGCATATCAATTCAGGGTTCCAGAGTTTCAGATCAGCTTGAAATGAGAAGCTATCTTGATGTTCCCAGAAATAAGAGCTTGGCTCTCCATAATATGCAGGGTCGTGTGGACCATGCTGTCCCCTCAGATATCCGCCTTTCTGATTGTCAGACATTTAAACCAAGTGGAGCCAGCCAACAGCCCCAGAGTAATTTTGAAGTACAGTCTTCAAGAAATAATGAAATAGGTAACCCTGTATCATCACTGAGAAGTATGCAGTCCCAGGCTTTTCGAATAAGTCAAAACACTGGCCCACCACCAATTGACCGACAAAAGAGATTACCTTATCCACCAGTTCAGAGCATCCCGACAGGAAACACTGTCCCACCAAGGGACAGTGAGAATACATGTCACCAAAGTTTCATGCAGAGTTTGCTTGCTCCTCACCTTGGTGAACAGGTCATTGGGAGCCAAAGGTCACTCTCAGAACATCAGAGGAATACACAGTGTGGTCCATCCTCTGCAGTTGAGTATAATTGTCCCCCAAGTCATGAAAGTGTTCATATTAGAAGAGAGAATGAGAGTCAGAATAGGGAGAGTTGTGACATGTCCTTAGGTGCAATTAACACCAGGAACAGCACCTTGAATATTCCTTTTTCAAGCTCCTCTTCCTCAGGAGATATTCAAGGTCGAAACTCAAGTCCCAATGTTTCTGTACAGAAGTCCAATCCTATGAGGATTACTGACAGTCATGGGACCAAGGGCCATATGAACCCTCCTGCCACAACCAATATGCACGGGGTTGCAAGGCCAGCTTTGCCACACCCATCTGTGTCTCATGGGAATGCTGACCAAGGGCCTCCTGTACGTCAAGCTAATTCTTCAGTTCCCCAGAGATCAAGGCATCCCCTGCAAGACAGCAGTGGTTCCAAAATTCGCCAAGCTGAAAGGAATCGTTCTGGAAACCAAAGGCACAGCAATGTCTTTGATCCAAGTCTTCCTCATCTTCCTCTCTCTAGCAGTAGCGGCATGATTCTTGGACGTCAACAACCTGCTGCAGAGAAGAGAGGAAGTATTGTACGTTTTATGCCTGACAGTCCACAAGTACCTAATGATAATTCAGGTCCTGACCAGCATACGCTGTCACAAAATTTTGGTTTTCCTTTTATTCCTGAGGGTGGCATGAATCCACCCATAAATGCTAACACTTCCTTCATTCCACAGGTTACTCAGCCTAGTGCCACGAGAACTCCAGCTCTCATCCCAGTGGATCCCCAAAACACTCTGCCCTCCTTCTATCCCCCGTATTCTCCTGCTCATCCTACTCTGTCCAATGATATTTCAATTCCCTATTTTTCTAATCAGATGTTTTCCAATCCCAGCACAGAGAAGGTAAACAGTGGAAGCTTAAACAACAGATTTGGCTCAATTTTATCTCCTCCCAGACCTGTTGGCTTTGCTCAGCCAAGCTTTCCTCTTCTCCCTGATATGCCGCCAATGCACATGACCAACTCTCACTTATCCAATTTTAATATGACATCTTTATTTCCAGAAATAGCAACAGCACTTCCTGATGGCTCAGCAATGTCACCTTTGCTTACCATAGCAAACTCCTCTGCTTCTGACTCTTCCAAGCAATCCTCAAACAGACCGGCACACAACATAAGCCATATTCTAGGTCATGATTGCAGTTCAGCTGTTTAAATCCAGAGAAACAAAATGTAAAGGTTTGGTTGAGAGGACAGATGCCCTTATGTGCACATGTGCATTGAGAGAGCTTGTGTCTTTGTGTTAGATAATCATTTTTCAATTAGCTTCTGGTTTATAGGGAAGCCATGTCAGGATGCATGTACTGAGGTTGTCAAAACAAATCATCTTTCATTTTTAATTGTATGTTGTGTTGTTTTTTAAATATTCCAGATGATTTATATGTCCAAGTTTGATTTATCTTTTATTCCCTAAATACCAGTCAACTGGAAGTTGAGGAGATGATCTTGACTCATGCTGGATAACAGGAAGGGGCTAGGATTTTTAAGCTTGATTATTGGTAAGTTGTAGAAAAGGTAGTTGAGTTGCTAATCCAAAAGTACAAGCAACTTAATAAAATATGATGGTTCAATACTAGATGCTGGGTGGTCAACATCTAACAGTTCTGAACAGTGGCCCATGATGATTGATAATGAGTTAAATTCCCATAATTAAAATTAAGCAATTAGCAAATAAATTAATTGTTTGACCAGCCTTTATTTCCAAGGCCTGGTGTAGAGACTTCTTTCTTATAATTGTTTAATAAACTATCTAAATTTCATGTCTTGTTCTCCAAAGTAGGGGACCACATTATCTTTTAATGTGCCAACGTCCTTTAAAGCAAAAGTCTTCCATAGACAATTAGCCTTAAAAATACAAAGCTAAGAAATAAAATACAGAAATGCTTTTCACTTAGTACTTGGATTTTGCATCAGGCCATAAGGATACAAGCAGTTGTATTGTGGCTCTTTGGAGGGTCATTTAGCAGTTGGTGTTTCATCATTTGACTTGATTTAGTATTTTCTTCTATTTATTTGGCTTTGAAATAAATTTATTTCCATCCACTTAAATATTAGGACTGCTCAGTAGACTCTACACTTTTGGACCTTTTCAGATATTTTTGAATGGAGTTTTAAGCTCTCAGTATTTGCATTTGCTGATATTTATATTAAATATGGCTTTGTATATTGCATTATTATCCTTTTTTGACAATTTAATGAGAAAATTGTTCATTTTTCTTGATGGTAGGTATGAAATGGTGCTTCACAAAAGTACAGTCTTTACTATGAGTGTGTGAATGTGAAAAATGTATGAGAAAACAGATATTCTAAATTATAGCCTGGTTCTTACTATTGCACTGTGTGTGTGTGATGTACATGATAAAAGATAAAATCTGTCAATTAAAATGAACAGATTTGAAAAAAGGCAGGACTGCCATCTAAAAATTACATTGAAACCTGATAAAGTATAGAAAAGTTTGATGTAGATGGGTTTTAAAAACCATACTGAATTAGTAATAATTTTTAAAACACATACGTTCAATTTTGAAAACTTTAAGAAAACAAAAATATGCACTGATTTAAAAAAAAAATGAAGTAAACTCATACGACTTTTGTTATCTTCTGTTAAAAATGGAATGCAGAGGAAAAGATGCACATGAACAGACCTGCTGGCTGTGCTGAAGAAATGAGCCCAGGGACCTGCAGAGGTTTTGGTTTTCCTGAGTACATTACTTAAAACAATACATGAATGCCACAGCTTTACATATAATATACTGATTTAAAAAAAAAATGAAGTAAACTCATACGACTTTTGTTATCTTCTGTTAAAAATGGAATGCAGAGGAAAAGATGCACATGAACAGACCTGCTGGCTGTGCTGAAGAAATGAGCCCAGGGACCTGCAGAGGTTTTGGTTTTCCTGAGTACATTACTTAAAACAATACATGAATGCCACAGCTTTACATATAATATGTATATATATATATATATATGTATAGCATGCATATATATTATATGCAGTATCTATGAATTACTTTTAAGCATTAATGTTCAGATTTTTCTTTGTATTTGAAAGGTCCAGTCTGCCAGTTTCATGATGGCAGTGTTCTATTTGCCATTTATTCTCCCTCCCTCCTTTGCTTTGTCTCTCTCTTTCACATATACATCCTCACATCACAGTGGCTATTCGATTCTCAACAGGACTGCTAGGTATGATTGGAACTAAGGTATCATGATGAGGAGAAACACTGGTTTTGTGTTTTGTTTCTAAGATTAGGATCTTGCTATGCTGCCCAGACTGGCCTTGAACTCCCACCTCAGCCTCCCAAGTAGCTGGGACTACAGGTGCTCTCCACCACCCAGCCAAAAAGCTAAGTTGAACATTGCAGCACAAATTCTCGAAGCTTATTATTAATGCTTTGGATTGTTTTTGTTTTATTGACTGTGTTTGCAGCCTGACTAAATTTGGAGATAGCATTGTATTTTCAGGGCTTTCACGCCAAGAACAGAATTCAATGCTATCTGCCTCTCGGCCTTTTTTGACCATCTTCAGGAAGATGTAACTGTGTACAAATAATTGGGCTTCTGCTTGCATGTGTTTCTAATCATAGACTTAATGCATATGTAAGAGATCATTTCATATATAGACTCATCAGAAATGCTCACACCATTGTGCTCTTGATTTAAAAGCCTGAATACTTATCAGTGCTAAGTATTTGATATTAAAACTACATGATTTATGGGAGGAAATTGTTATGTAGTATCTAGTAATATCTAGATAAAACTTCTGTTGAAGTAATGACAAAATATAGCCAAATACATGTTATTCTCAACTTGTTAATATGTAACTATATAAAGTAAAAGCATCTCCACAGATAACTTTGTGATTTCTGGAAATAACAAAATTGTGTCTGCTTCATAAGCAAATCATTGGTTAAATCATTTTGCTCTAGCATTATTGATCACATAGAATCACTGAAAGTGGTCAGTTCCTCTCAGCATTCAACAGTAAGTTCTAATGAAGTAAAAAAGTTCAGATTTCACTTCATATATAAACTTAAATGAGTTTGTTAAATATGTTGATCATGGATGAAATAATTTTTTATTTTTATTTTTGATGGTTTTTAAATACAGATGGGACTTTTATAAGTTGTTTTATACCACTTCAGGAATTTTATTTTTTATTATAAGAGCTCATGGGATGCCATAGGTAACTTCCTTTCTGAGTGGTGGGTGGGCTTTTCACAGTGATGGCGATAGCTGAAGCTGATGGCTCTGAACCTTGTGGAGTTAGCTGTGTTTGTGCAGCAGCTGCCAGGCATAGGTCAGGGTTATGTGAACTGCAATGAAGATCAGCTTCTTAAAATCAGCCTTTTTAGAGTACACAATTGTTTCAGCAGTTTAAAAAGAGTTCTTTTGCCTTGTTCTTGCCTCCTAACATTAGCCATTTCATGGAGAGGCTAAAACACTCCAAAAAAATGTACAAATACATTTTCAAGGGAGTAAAAATTTTGGAGAAATTGTCAAGACTTGTCCTCAACTGCTTTATCTTTGCTTTAATGGATAGATACTTAGGCTCTTTTTCTCTTTTCTCTGTTCCATGTCAGAGATGACCAGCCTGGTCATCTCAATAATTATGCCGTCCTCTTGAAACATGATTGGACTCACCTTCTTAGTGTGTTGTAGTGAATCTACTCCCAACCATTGGCTGAATGACTTTGGCAACCTATATGCCGCCTCCTCTTAAGTGGCAACAATTCCTCCAAATAACCAGTAGTTCAGAATTGATTTAAGATAGTTTAGTGTTGTGGGATGGGCACATTCTTTGGTTTGGTCCTTTTTTTCCTGTGGCAGAATGAAGGGCAAAGGTGGTACCAAAATGGCAGTGGCCTTGAGTCCATATCCTCAGGAGCCTGAAAGTCACTGTAATTCTGTTCTCTGGGTAAGTGCTGCCTTTGCCTGGAAGCAATGTGCCCATCCATGGTTTTGTGCACTGGGGGTGGGGTAGGGGGTCAACAGTAATAGCCAGCGGCCAGAAAAACTAGTGTGGATTTAATCTCTGCATGATGATTTTGTGATGCCTTTATGCAAATTAGATTAGTTTTTCTCAAGATGGCTTTTGGGCTGAATGTTCTTCCCCCGCCCCTTCCCCAAAGTTCTACCAAAAACAGGTACATTTTTTTGTCTTAACTGTACTCTGCATTCTATTCTTTGGTGTTGGATTCTACTATAAGTGAAACAAACAATATTTCTAGTAGATTCCATGGGGATCACCCATGTTCAGGTGGAAGCAGTCCAGATAGGCTGGAGAATGCATTGAGGACCTTGGGTGCAGAGCTTGTTCTGATCCCTGTGTCTCTCTTCTGGTACTGCACACTCCACCTGAAACTGTGCCTCAGTCCTGAGACCACATCCCAGAATGCATCACTCATCCACCCATGGGTCGCAGCAAAGTTGTGGGGATGGTCCATGCTGTGTAATCAAATACCATGTAGAAAACAGGTAGTACAGCTGATGCTTCTCACTGTTGCCTTATCACTCTCTGAGCCATCTTTGGAAAAAAACTTAGTAGCTAAACTTTGAATCATAGAGCTGATGGTAGTTCTTCAATGTCCTTATTTCTAGGTTTCCATAAACGACCAATTTTTTTGGCACATACGTGGTCAGATGCTTCATAAACAGGAGTCAACTTAAGTTGAGAGTGTTAGGCATAATATCCAAGTTGTTTTGGATGACTGCATAATCTGTCACCAGAGATTTCATGGGAAGATGAACTTCTCTTGTAATGTAGCCCATTTTTTAAAAAGATGATCTTTAACTTTGGCCCAGTTGTGTGTTTATATATGTTATATCACAGGAAATTTGACCCATTTATGTTCCTTCATTTTTACTGAGACCTCTCTGCCCGCCCTCCCCTGAAATCTTAAAATCACTTTCATCTCTTTCATCTGTAAGATCATGGGGCACTGGATTTGACTGCAGCAGTAACCTTTGTGGGGAATTAAACTGTTGATCTTCCGAGAAGAGAGGGACCAGACAGTGTTGCTTAAAATGCTGCAGTTGTGTTACTGTGAAGAAAAAATTCTTCCACTTTCAGCAGGTTATATATGTATATATATTTTTTCATTTTGGTAAAAAGGAGGTTGAAAATGGAGAACATAATTATCTTCACAAATCTTTATAGATACACTGGGTGAGATGCTTACTGTAGGACAAGCACCAGAAACAATAAATTTTAGTGCTTCAATATTGTAATATTTGTATCTTATTACCCAGCCAGCAGTCTGTTGTGCACTGTATCCTATTACTGTAAATCACTTGGTTTATAACTCTAATGGAAACCTAATTTGTTTTTTAATGGAATCCAGAGAAGATATGTATAATAGGATCAGGATTGTCCTACAGCTGTAAATAAGAATAGGTCCTGTTTATTTTGACATCTTTTTACAAATACATTGTATTAGGGTGTGAATATTCCAAACCATGCTCTTGGTTAAAGTTTTAAAATTTTTATTGTTAAATGTAACATTTTAATGGTTGTAATAATTATTTGTATAGATATGGATATAGTATTTTATTTAAGAAAATAAACTTTGCAATTGTTGCATTGTGAATTCTCTTTTCTGATTATTCCATGTTCCACTTCAGATCTGCTTGTCTTACACAGTCAAGGATTATACTTAAATTTTGGCTAATATCTGAAAAGATCCGGTGAAACATTTCCATAGGGTTTGCGTTCCTAAGCATTTCACCCCAAGTCACAGTTATGATCAGGGTTAAATTATTAGAACAAATCATACACCTCTACAAGTCATTTTCAAATGTAAAATTAGAATGTCAAATATGGAAGAAAATTCATTGATGAGCCGTTTTGACTTCCCAGGTGTGTTTGTATTGGAAGAAACTAAAGCATAGAGTTTTGAGATAAAAGATATTTGGGACTGGAGAGATGGCTCAGCAGTTGAGTATGTACTGCACCCCTGTCCATGGGGACATGTTGAGGCAAGTGATTAATGAAAGAAGTCTGTACCCTACCCTCTATCACATACTGAACCCATCCTGTGGTTAAATTCCCCCTTCTTTGATTTGTGTTTGTGTCCCCTCTGAAACTCATATTGAGATTTAACTGCCATTCTGATACTACTAAAAGAGATGGAACCTTTAGAAGGTGTTCAGACTGGGTGGAATGGATTGTTGTAAAAGGTAAAGCTTCTTGTTTACCTCTGTCTTTATGTCCTCTGCATGTGCGGAAAGAAGGCCCTCCTCAGTCTAGCACCTTGATCTTGGACTTCCAGCCTCTGTGGTATTCTGTTATAGCAACAGAAACTGATGAAGGCATCCACTGTCAGAATTAGAGTGGGAGTAGGTATATTCAACAACTGTGAATCTCAACATTGGTTCCTAAGCCAATGGGTTGAAGATGGTGATGGCACGAAAGTTAAGTAGAAATGAGTCCCTGAACTTGACCCAATACTCATCTTTAAGAAAGGAAGGAAAGGAATGCCACATCCCTAGGGAAATTTTTAAGTGGATGTGTTAATTAGCTTTATTTAATCATTTATAATATACACATTAAAACATCACCTTGTACCATATGTATGTTGTACTGTTAAGTTTTTATTATCAGTTTGACACAAAGTGGAGTCACCCAGGATAAGAGATTCTCAAAGAATTGACTCCATCAAATTGACCTATGGCCATATCTTTGAGGAACTGTCTTCATGATAGGGAAAGGAGGCAGCCCACTGTGGGCAGCACCA